AATATATGGTATTTATAAAGATGTACACAGGTACACAAATGGTATAAACCATTCTTGGATGTTGTATATTTTGCAGTTGTCAAATAACATGAATTGTTTTAATTTAGCACAACCTGACAAGAGTTTACAGTCCTTGGAACATACTTCAATCAATGGTGGATTACCTGAAATGGATGATGAAGAATACCATGACATGGGCCTTAATGCGGAAATCTATGGGGATGTAGAAGAGGAGGACCCGTATAACCCATGCTGCCCTGATCAAATTTATGACACAGTGGAGCCACAATCCACCTCTGAAATAATCAACCGTCCACCTGCACCGATTCCACGACCAGCCAACCTGCCAGAGCCAGAAGAGAACACAACCTACATTTCCAAAGGTTATTATGCAGACACAGCTAAACCACAGTGCAAACACAGAGGCTCTAATTTTAGTGTAGCATCATTTACTCTCTCTTATATCATTCTAAGCCTTCATGACTTTCTTTTTTCCTGTGGAATGCAAGAGAAGATATTTTGAAGAATGTTGGTAAATAAGCAGTCCCAGTAAAAGTCAGCGGGAATCCACATGGTTATCAACATTCTTCAAAATATCTTCTTTTGTATTTCACGGAAGAAAGACAGTCATACAAAATTATGACATAATTTTCATTTTTGGTTGAACTATTCTTTTAATGGAAATCTTAAGTCAGAAAACAGTACCTTTATAGTAATTTCAGTTAAATTTGACCTGTTTTACAGTATTTTGTCTCAAGGAACCTGTATACTCACTCAGTCAACGGCCAGAAAGGGATTCCTCTTTAGGTAGTGTATAAAAGTTTCTTGAACCATATGTGTATATGAACTATGGATTATTAAATTGAAAGTACACCTACATTTCCGTGCTTAAATGATCCATTCTTGCAGCACCTGTACGGCTGGTGAGAGACAGAGACATGAGCAGTCACCATGACCCCTTTGCAGGCATGAAGACCCCGGGACAGAGGCAGCTCATCTCTCTACAGGAGAGGGTGAAGGTGGGTGAGCTGACTGTGGAAGAGGCAGTGCAGGAGTTCAAGGCTTGGCAGTTTGATCAAGATAAAAGATGGCGCTCTCTCCGCTTCCAGCAGGTAAGTAACTCCAGGTCAAATTTTTGCATATGTGTTGCATGTAAATCAATGAGATCTTTAGAACAGTATAGTGGACTACTTACATAAAATGCATATAAATGTTGTCACTCTGTACTTCCCAATAATATCTTATTAAGATTATATTTAAATGCTTAGTTTTATAATCAAAGCTCTGTAGTTTTTATTGTGGGAGGCAAAACATATAATTCAACAATACAATGATGATTGAGAGATACGAATAAATGTTCCTCAAAAAGCTGATGTGTCATATTTGATACATTTTAACATTATTTTTCTAAAAATCGCTGTGTGGATAATTAGATAAAGTTGCTTCAGTCCAGTAGGTGTTCATCTTGAAATATTACTAACAAAATAAAGTTATTCTTACATTTAATTTATGAAAATCATTAAAGATTTCACAGCAAAATGACTCCTGTATTACAACCTGTAGGATGACTATTTTAAAATTATACTTAAAGACCTTTTACTTGCTAAAAAAAGTTTGAACTATCAATCAGAAGGCATGTAGTAGATTGTGTACAACAGGTTTTTCAGCAAAGTTTTGATCATGTGGATAATTTAGAGACCTTGCATATCAAATTCGATGTTAACCCTACATAGGCTTAACAAGTAAAATGAGTATCTCTGATGTTTCTGTAACCGTCTCTCCATATTCTTCAAGGAAAATTTACAAAGATTAAGAGACAGCATCACTCGACGCTGTAAAGGCAAAGGGCCAAACGGTAAGGAAACGCAGGACACCTTTCATTATACAATATACTCATAAGTGGTTAACATGGCATTCTATTAGAATGTACAAGAAAAGTTTATATATTACTCTTGGGGCTCAACAATAAGTATGAATGAACTAATGGCACATGGAAAGTGTAAAATAATTTTAGCCCCTAGTCCATTTAAAATGATGAATTTATTGCTGTCATGGAGTTACTTAACTGTATAGTTTTCACCTATATTTGCAAAGAAAAAAAATTGTTAATTGTGTTCATTTCAATTTGTAATCTATTTTAAATATATTGTATAAAATATTTTTGTTTCTGGCACATAAAAATAACAAACATGAATGAAATGCATATTTGTTTGTGGTGGTGCCATTGAAAATTATTGTTAAATTTGGTGACATTTAGCATTTAGAATCAAACCAATTTTATGTCTGTTTTCAAGAGTCTTTCTGTTTTTCGACTAGAGCTTATGATTACAGCACCAATGCAAATAAACAGTCAGTGGGGTTCTCAAATGAACATGAATTGCTCAGTGTACGAACCCACACCTCGTTCGATTGCCCAACCCCCGCCTGTTAGTAGACCGCTGCAGAGAGGAAGCTGGCAGACAGGAAGCAACTCCAGCACTTCTAGTATGTAATAAATAACTTCTTTAATCTCACACAATAACATCTGATATAACTGTGAACAGAACCATGTTTACAAGTATGGTGTGTTTCTACAATGTAATTGTGAAGGTTTGACCTGTGCAGGTAGTAGCAGTCACAGATTGAGCACTCAGAGCACCGTCAGCAACAGCAGTGAGGTGGAAGGTGAATGTGAGGTCAGTTTTTTCCTTTAATCATCATCAGAGATTCCTGAACAAAGAAGTATCATGGTTTCTACAAAAATATTTTTTTTAATTCAGAATTGATAATTATAAGGAATGAAAATCAACAAATTAGAATGATTTCTGATGGATCATGTGACACTGAAGGCTGGAATCACGGCTGCTGAAAATTCAGTTTTGCCATCACAGGAATATATTATATTTTCAAATATATTCGAACAGAAAACTGTTTTTGTTTTTAATTATAATAATATTTCCTAATATTATTGTATTTTTGATCACATAAATATAGCCTTAGTGACTTCTTCCAAAAACATAAAAAAATCGTAATGATCGCAAAACTATAATACATTATACATTAATACATTATTGTAATATTAAAATATACTGGCATAAAGTATTTTAGCTTAGGTTGTTATAGTAGAAATGTAGATTTTGCATCAAAATATTTTCCTTAATAGCAAATATTAACACATTCCAAGAACGTATTACACCTTTTTATTTATTATTATCTTTTTAATGATCATATGTCTTGACCTTAATGGTTTAAGGAGCCTCCGGACATTCCACTTCCTCCACGGCCTCTCCGGCCTGTAGTGGATACTCCACCAGTACTCCCTCCACCCAGGGTCCCACCACGTGTAATAGAGAGGTACGTGTTTAAAATGGCTTTTACACAATACCAGGTAAAAGCAACTGTGTTGGAATCAGAAAAAACAAGCGTTTTCTGTCATAGCTCTATTGTGAGGTATATTTCAAACTCTAAGTAAAAAATACATATACTCAGGAGATATTTTATACAGCGAGTCTTTATATTCAAAGTTGAACAGAGCGAACACATACATAAATGTATATATAGAGAGTTGTGGCTTCGATTAGTTTTATTTTCGAAACGTTTCTCTGCGAGAATGTACCAGATGACTGGATAAAACTTTGTAGGTGAAGCGAAGGTGGTAGTGTATGAAACTCATACACCTCCCCATGTGACAGACCACAGCATCAATCGCTAAACTCTTTTAACCACAACGCCGGATTTTGCGAAGCTTAACTTTCCATCAGTAACTTGATCATATGTAGAAGCATCAACCTTTAAATCTTATAAAGACTGAGTGTGGGTTCTGAATGCACTACATCTTCACCAGCTAATATACACAAACACAAACATCAGAGGATTGGTATCGTGTCAGAGAGGGGGTGAGGAACATCTGCACTCTGATGTGGGTGCCACATATCCTCTGCTAATTCTTGCCTAGCTGATGGGAGCTATGATAAATTTAGAGAAGTTTTAGAAAGGTGTGCAATCTGTGCACATCCAACCCAGGTTTAGAACTGTGCCTTTTAAGGAGGCTATAAATGGTTACATATATGCAAAGAAGACAAAACCAATCAAAATTCAGTATGCAAATCAGTGTAAGTCGAAGGGAGATTTTCAAACTTAACTTTCTTGGTAAAAAACAAAATATATGTTTTGATCAGCATACAGCTAACATACGCTACTATTCAAAGATTTGGGATGAGCTCATAAAAAATGTATTAAATAATATATAGAATAAAAGAAAATAATAAAATTAAATTGTGTTCTTTTGAACTTTCTATTCATTAAAGAATCATAAAAGAAAAGTATGTACAGTATCACAGTTTCCACAAAAATACTAAGCAGTGCAACTGTTTTCAAAATGATAATATTAAGAAATTATTTCTGAAGGATGATGTGTCTCTGAAGACTGGAGTAATGGATGCTGAAAATTCAGCTTTGCCACCACAGGAATAAATTACATTTACAAATATTTTCAAATAGAAAACAGTTATTTTAAATTGTAATAATATTCAATATAACTATTTTACTGTATTTGTGATCAAATAAATGCAGCTTGGGTGAGGATAAGAGATAAAAAAACTCTTACAGACCCCAATCTTTCGAACAGTAGTTTTAGGTTAAACAGTTCAGGCTGAATTCACTGTTTAATATTTGGGGATAGTCGTCCAGAAAAAAAAACCCTCAACATATATTGATATTAATTTATTAGGTTACATAAGTTTAATAGTTGTAACCTATTTCCCTGGTTTGTCTGGAGCTCAGTTTGTATATTGCTCATTTTAAATTTAACCCACTCTGTCTCTTAGGAATCCAGACATACTAAACGAGCGATATGTATCGACTCCATCCCGTCCTGTTCATCAGACGCCTGCGCAAAGGTCCATGCCACCTCCACCTATACCGAGACGCACATGGTGATGGCCTGCTTCAGCATGGCTGGCTTTCGTTCTGTTTGACTCTGCACTTTTCTTGTTGAGCCTTTGAGATCTGTAAGTCTCTTCATGGTGGAACAGAAACTACTGGCTGTGTCCGAAACTGAAGACAGCTCATTTGCTGCCCTATCAGTCAGTGACCTGCATGGTTTTGCATGAAGGTGACTCTTAAGGAAACTGGTTTGCCATTTATATTCTTTTTACCAACTGCCATCTAAGTAGAAAACAGGATATTATGCAAACATCAGATTCAGAAGTCTTGAAGCTATCTTATTTTTCATATACTGCCTGTGGTTTCAGACACAGCCGGTGGATCAGTATCCAGTGTTCAAGTGTTTTAATCTAGACTCAACTTGCAATGCAAACAATCACCTTAGTTTATAGGTATTAAATTATAAATCTTCAGCTGAAGATATGCAATATGTTTGAGGTTTTTTTTCTCATATGGTCACTTGTTTGCAATATAGCCATTTGGTTTGTGCTCTCTGAGTGCCTTTAGTAGCAAATAGCAAACTCAAGAATTTGCCTACATTTGTTTTTAATCAGAACTTTTTTCTGTTTGAAATATAGTTTGTGTTGGCTGTGATCAGTCATGAGATGATGAGATTTAATGTTGAATAGTTTTCTGCGTTTTAAAAATATTTATTGATGTATTCACTTGTTATTGCTGGCTATAATATATCACCCAAAAATAGGCAGAGAAACAGTGTATTTAACAGCATAAAAAGTGTGAATGCACAGTGTGAAGAAGGAAGATGTGTGTTTTGTGTGTATGTATTTGTTTGTGTGTGTGTGTTCATGTTTGGTAGACCATGAAGACAAAACTAATTAAAGTCTTTTCTGCCATAATGTGTTGTCCTTCTTCTTCTTTTTTTTAGTTTATTTTAACTTTTTAAAGTCTGCTAGGCTGTTTGTAAATGCTGGCCTCAGTATAGCGGGGGTTTTTGACAAGTGCACATATTTACTGAGAATAAGTATTTAGCCTACCCAGTGCACATGAAACATGTTTTATCTTTTGGTTTAGATAATATGCTAAAAATTCCATTTGCCAAATTATTTAATACTCAATAAATTAGCTAAATATTTGCTTCTTGCTTAATACATTTCATGTCAATCTTAAAAATGACTTTTTCGCCAAATCCTGTGACTGTTTTTATGCATATTATTATAATTAATTATATTAAAAGTATTTTCTTTTGATTTTCTTTCTTTCATTTTTATTTTTTACCTCATCTATAAACTATAGTGCCCTGGGACCACTAGAGGGCCTCGGCAAACTTCCAAGGGGGGCGCAAGACTAACGTTACTTAAAATATTTTAAATAACTTACATTAAAATAGTCTAACTTATTACCCAAAAACGCTAAAAATGAATATTTCCAACATGTAAGTTAAACTAGCATAATTTTTATTGTTGCAATTTAATATAAACTAGGAATTTATTAACTAAATGTAATGTGTAGCCTATCATTTAAATGTATTTTTGTTATTGTTATTTAAAATGTGCGCTGAAAATGCACCTTTGCTGAAACAAAAGTTTGATTACACGTCTGTGCCTCTACGGAACGCCCCTCTCCTCCCACTCCAGTGATATTGTGATGAGAGCGTGAGAGGCTCCACGCTCGGGTGAGCGGCGTGCGGTGACCGTCACTGAATTGTGCTGCGTGCAGCAGCGTTATCAATACGGAAACCTGGACTGCTTCCTTAGAAAGGTGAGTATTCCGCAACGCATGCTTCATTCTCAATCAGATTCCCAGTATTCGACTACTATTACTATTATTTGGCCCAGGGTTTTAATATAATAAACCGCAGCGGCCATCCATTGCAGAAATGTGCAGTGCAGAAGTGCGGCAGCGTGGCTTAGTGTTTCAGTTACTTCAGCACTAGTGATATTATTATATAGTGATAATTGTATGGCTATATTGGCGGATGTAAAGGGTGAAACTATGAATTGCAGTGCTTATTGAAAGCACAAGCGTTTATGAATTGTCCGATAAAGGAGATGGGATAGAGATTGTTTGTATTCTGCAGAAAAAGAGATCTGACTTCGGCTGCACTTGACATCCAAATAAGGAATAGGATTGACTGAATACGCGGAGGGAGCAGGACAGTGTGAAACGATCTTCACGAGTTTAACAATCACATTGTAGATGGCTTGAAAAAATAAATAAACTGGACACATAAGACAATTTATCCAGATCTTAGTGATATAACTGCCTGTATTCACGAAGATGAATGTAAGGATGAGTAGTAGTAGTAATGCAGTGCGGTGTATGCGGCAGATGTATACAGTAGTATGTTTGATGAGCTATGCAGAAGTGGGACAATTTTTGGTAGATTCGTGATGGAGCACAGATAAAAGATTTAAAAAGATAAAAGATTGTAGAGATAAAAAGATAAAAGTTTTTTTCCATCTTAAGATGATTTGTGGAGGAATAGGATTGACTGAATATGCGGAGGGAGCAGGACAGTGTGAAACGATCTTCACGAGTTTAACAATCACATTGTAGATGGCTTGAAAAAATAAATAAACTGGACACATAAGACAATTTATCCAGATCTTAGTGATATAACTGCCTGTATTCACGAAGATGAATGTAAGGATGAGTAGTAGTAGTAATGCAGTGCGGTGTATGCGGCAGATGTATACAGTAGTATGTTTGATGAGCTATGCAGAAGTGGGACAATTTTTGGTAGATTCGTGATGGAGCACAGATAAAAGATTTAAAAAGATAAAAGATTGTAGAGATAAAAAGATAAAAGTTTTTTTCCATCTTAAGATGATTTGTGGAACTTGTAGTCTACCAGCTCCGGTGGTCTACCAACTAACCTTATCATGGTCTGCCAGGTCAACCTCAGTCTCACAGGCTGGTAGTTCATCTAATCCATCATCTCTAGACCATAAATGACCAGCATAATCAAGCTAGAAACCAAGCAGTTTTTCAGAAATATATGCTGTTGGTAACTAGCCTTACAGTTTGCATATAAAAAATAATAGTAAAAGTATAATGAGGGTGATTTCTATTCTTTATGCAACATTTGTTTCAATTGTGTTATTTGTCACTTATGCTGATGTAAACTTCCCATAATAAACTGTCCGCCACAAAGGCAATACTTTAACCAAAATTCTAAATCCCTTGGAAGAATTAAGAAATTCTAATTATTTAAATTGAGGACTTACATATTCTTAATATTTGTTCTTTTATAAGATTATTTAACCTGGTTAACTTACTTTATAGGAATTGTTTTTAGAGATTTGGTTGTAAACCAGAACAATCTGTGCAAATTCTGTATTTCTCAAAGGGCTTGAAAATCAGGTATATAAACTTATTGACATAACTTAATAACATACTTTTCCTTCTTTAAAAATAGTTTAGTGGCATTAGAGACTAAAGTGAAATAGGCTCTGTATTGCCTACCGCTTAGTTTTTATAAATGTTAAATAAACTGCATAGTTCATCAGCAGGTTTTCCTACAACAATTAACACAAGGCAAAATGTTATAACTAGTTCTGTTATGTTCCTTATTATTATAATGTAGTTGTAATGCAATTGAAGAACACTGACAAGGGGATTGTACAATGGCAAAGAAAAGAAAGAACATCTCACACCTTAAAACACACCCTGTGAAAATGTTCAGCTCAGATGTTTCAGCTCAGCACCTGTGCCAGACCTATATGATGTTATCGTCATTTTCTGGCACAGGAGATATGTAGTATTTCAAGAGGAAGTGAACAACATTAAAATCTTAAGTAGGTGAGAAACTACAACATTTGTGAGAAGTTCCTGCCAGCGTCTTTGGTAGCCATCTCCTTACAAAGATAATGAATAATTTGTGTTGGCTGCTTAATATTTTATAAGCTTTCTGTAGAATCATATTACTGTCTAGTGTGGTGAACAGGCACCCAAAAGATTGGTGGTGAAACACTGTCTAATTGAGTTTTCTTGTGAATGATTTGATAAAGTAATACATTTGACACTGGTGATCTTATAGGATCATCAGGTTGTTACATATAGAGAGGCCATGATATCTCAGGATTTTTAAGTATTTTTACAGCTCTGTAAGCACCGATAATGGCATAAAAGTTTGTCAAGTTAGTTAAAGCCTTTTTGTAGCACTGCAATTATGCCAAGACACGATTTGACTGCTAATAACATGATATTATTTCATTTCTCCTAGTGCCAGTTGTTGCCACTTCACATTTCACTGCTATTTGAAACACCAAAAATTAAGCCTTTATGTTTGTCATTGCATGCTCTTAATTGGATAAAAGCAGGCAGGAATGGGTAGGAGAGCAAGGGCAGGCGTATGACAGCAGATGGAATGAAGCTCTGGTCGTGGACAGAGGAAGTGCTCTGAGTAGGATTAAAATCACAGGCTTCCCATTCATGGTGGAGTTTGGAGCTCTTGAGTCACTCACATCCATAGGATTGAGGGGATTACCATATTAATAGTATCCTTTGTTTTTAACACCAGGTTATACATATTTGACTTAAAGGCACAATATGTAAGATTTTTTTATTAAAATATCCAAAAAACCACTAGAACAGTGTTATATATTTTGTGTACTTACATTATCCCAAATGTTTCGAAGGATGTTTAAATCCAGAGAAATAAGCAATTTTAACTAGTGACACGGACCGTGTCCATAGTGTCATTGTGTCGCCTGCCAATGACGTCATACACCCTCGATTTCCTGTTTTTGTTTTGTAGAAAACATGGAAACACCAAAGACGCTTTAATATGTTGTGCGTTTTATTAGACCGGTGATGACCACACAGAGTAGAATAATAACAGAACTTTCAAATGTATCTAGTATGATAAAACAGCGCTGCTTTCCCCCCCCACATACTCACGACCGGAAGGAGCGGAAGCGGTCGATAATAAATGGCATAATAAAAGCTCCGCTGCTTTCGAGCCGTGTGTCACACTCGTTCAGTGGCCTCGTTTCGCTTCGACGGGTTTCAGCCTCACCCTCCTTCATTCTACTACGTTAATAAATCATTAGCTCATCCATGAACATGATTTCTGCCCGAGTCCCGTCGGATTGCATCGGCTGTGGGGATGAAGACGACAACTCCCATGATTCCACACTCAGTCACGGCGTCATCTAACTATGCCTTTGCCTCTTTGTTTATTTTGAATACGCGCCCTCCTGCGGCGAAAATTACATATTGTGCCTTTAATTATGAGTTAATGTGTTATGTTGTCTTTATCAGTGACACAGGTGAATTGTAATGATTCTAAAGATCTCCAGCAAATCCATGTAGAATATTGCTGTGTTATAACTGGTTGTATTGTATTTTACAACTTGTAGCCATTTGGCCTTACAAATACGTCATAACATAATACATGTCCAATGTCTGCTAATAGATTAAGCTGTTTTATTTATTTGCTTAAAAACAAAACATCCAAAGCCCTTAAATTTGATTTCTCTTATTACATTACTGTATTGAATGTACTTTGACTTTGTTTTTTTGTTGTTGTTTTTGTTGTTCTTTATTGGATTTAAAAATAATTATAAAATAAACTGTAAAAAAAAAAATGTAAGTTAAAGTACAACAGAAAAAACATTGTATATTCAAAGTACATTCAAAACTCCAATAATATAAATAAAAGAAAACACAAAGCCAGGGAGACAGGCTAATAATTATAGAAATAAATGTAAAGATAGGCATATAGATAAAGTCTTTGTCTTTTTTCTCGTGTTCAAGAATCAAAAACAAGGGTTTGGTTTTACTGTATTTACATTTATGTATATGATATTTAGTGAAAATTAAATATAAATAAAACAATGTTTTGGCAACAGGGCCGTAGCTGGTGGGGAGAAAGGTGGTGACGATTATAGGGGCCCACAGCTGTCGGGGGGACCCAGGCAGTTTTAACGGGTTGCCCAGGGCCAGTGTGAAAGACACTCAGGACGGTTGATGGACTGCCCGATCGGTCACTGCTGCACTTTGTCACGAAAGCTTGTCATTTGCAAATTTTTTAAGCCTTGCCAAACATTCAAGCGATTTTAAAGCATTCAAGTGCGAAAGAATTTGCATACTGTGTTCTGTGTGCATACAGAGAGCCACGTCACACAGCTCGCGACCACAGAATTGAGTTGTCTATTGCGCTTGAACGTACAAATACATAAACAAATTGTCAAAATGCCCTTCTTGGTGAGTATCCTCGAAAACTTTGGTTATGTTATAAGTGAACATAAACAGTTGATAAAGATGTGTTTCATTATTGGTTCCATAGATTGTGTCTTAAAGTGAATGTGCCTAATTTACTAGCTGCTGTCGGTGTCCTTAATGTTAATCCAAGAAAAAAAGAGTGAGAGAGAGAAAATTACTCTCTGCTCTTTAATAACTTGAATTTTGTAGCTTTAACACAAAATTAATCTGTTTAATTTATACAGTGAACACTATGCAATGGTGTTTTACATTTGTTGATTAAATTTCTTTACTTAAACACCACCAAACCTGAAAAAAAGCCTTACTTAATTTGTATCTTTGTTCTAGTCATTTATTTGTGCTAGCCTATTTAAACTATTTCAAATAGGGCCCACAGGTACAACATGCACCGGTCCCCGAATACCTCAGCTACGGCCCTGTTTGGCAATTGTCTCTCAAAAAGAACAGTTCAAATCAATATCCTTTTTAAACTTAGCAGGAAAGTGAAAAATAAAGAAAATGACTTTGTTTACCAGTAAACATATGCTTGA